CTTCCTGCCGCAGGCTGCAGGCCCTTCCTGACCGCCTCCCCCGAACCCACCGAGGCCTGGGGACTTTCGCCTGGGATTTCATTTCGTCTCCCAGTAGGCTCAGGTGACAGGGACCCTCGTGACACCCATTTCACAGGAAAGAAAGCCGAGGCTCAGGTCCGGGCTCACACTGCAGGCCCCACGGCAGGTTTCCGACCCTGAGCCGGGACTGACATTCTGGTCTGGGAGCCTCAGGACCTTTTCCCACCTGGTGGGGGAAACCCGACCTTGGCCGCGGATGAAGACCTTGGGTTCTACTTTGATCACAGAGGTGACAGCTAGTTAAGTCAGAGGTTTTAGAAAACAGAGAAGAAGAAAAACACGAAAGTCACCGTCTGCCCATCCAGAGGTGGAACGTGGGCATTCTTAGCTGGTGGCTCTAGCAAGACACATTTCCGGGCCCCACCCCCAGAGTGTCTGAGTCAGCAGCTTGGGGGAGGCTAAGATCTACATTTCTCATGCATTTCGGGGTGATGCTGCTGCTGCTGCTGGTTTGAGGACCCCACTTTGGGACCCGCACTGCTGAGGTTGGGGGAGAGTCTGGCGAGGGGCTGTCCCGTGCCACAGAGGGTGTTCAACAGCACCCCTGATCTGCCGGGCGTCCGTGGCTCGCTCCTCCTCAGATGCAACAACCAAAAACGTCTCCAGACGTTTCCAAATGTCCCTGGGGGGAGGGGACTGTCCCCAGCAAGTTCCCCTGCTCTTCTTGTCTTCTATGTCCCTTGACATTCTCCCAGAGAGACCCCCCGCCCCCCCCCCATTCATGCACCTATTTCCGTTTCCTCAAGAAGAACGTCAATCCAGGCAGGTTTCTAACTCGCTCTTTCCCACCTGACAGCGCATGGCCAATTAACTGGGCAATTAGCTCTGCTGGCAGCAAAAAGAAGCAGGCTTTCTGCACAGATGATGCGGGAAGCGTGTCTCAGTGCCCACCGCGTGGCTCTGGGCCGGGTGCGGGTGGCGGAGGCGGCCTGTCAAAGCCACGGGCCTCAGCGCAGGTGCGGGAACCTCCCACTTGGGCGCCGGTGGCCTGTCTTATGAAGCTGTCGGCCTCCCCAGAGCCGTAGGCTCAGCTTGTCGGGAAAATGAGAAGTGTGGCAGGGGTGCTCAGGAACACGGGCGGCTCCTGGCCTCCTGCTCCAAGGGACCCAGAGATGGACCGGGGGACCCAGGGCTTGTGCAGACTGGGGAGTGAAGTTCCTGCCTGCCCCCCTTTGCCTGCGATGGCACCAGGCGCAGCTCTTGCCACCAAGCTGAGCCGAAGGCCTGTGGACTGGTCACTGGGACTTGTAATGAGATGTGGGATTTTGCTGCCCCTGATGTCCCCTGAGGTCCTCCTGGCTGCCAGGCTCAGGGCTCATTTCTCCCAGAGCAGCCAAGAGCCATGGCCACTCACCCTCCAGGTGGGACCTGCTCTTAGGGTCACACGGGCTCTGGGATTGTTGCTGGAAGCCGCAGGACACTGGCCGGGCAGGGCCATTGGGAAGGGAGCTCCAGGGGGCTGTAGGGGCCCCACACCCCTCCATGGCGCCTTCCGACTGCTCTTCCCCCCACCCCTGCCGGGCAGCGGCCAAAGGGTCTGTGGCATTGACCAGCTCAGGGCTGGGCCCTGATTGGTCTCAACATCCAGGTCTTCCCCCTTCATTCCCTGGGGATTTTTCCAGCACGGAGAGGGTGCTCCTGGAGGTTTGCTGGAGCTGGCTGCAGGGTCCCCTGTGTGCATCTTTCTCCAGCTGAGCATGTGGGAGCCTGGAACCAGCCACCAGGCTGACTGGCAGCTGGTGTGGGATATCAGGGAATCTACACCACAGGGATCAGCAGATGCTGCGCGTCAGGGCTCTTCTCCCGCCAGGGTGCTGGCTCTCCAGAGCACCACTGTCCCCTCCTGCTAACCACGATTGGGAGCCTGACAGTCCAGCTGCTGCAGGCCACCCTGTGACCATGAGAGGCGGAGGAAGTCGATGTCTTGCAAGACAGAGCAGGGAGATAGAAATAGCGGGGCTTTGGCGACATCGATTACGACGCACCTCTGGGCTTTTTGATTGCATTTTTCCATTTTTTGAGAGTATCCTAAATGATGCAACTTGGCAACCAGTGTGGGATATCGGAGGCCAATACAAAAGTGGGCAGGACCTTCCATTCTCCTGCTACTGTGGAGCAATGGGGACTTGTATTTGTCCACATGGATCTCTCCCTCCTCTGAATGGCTATTGTGCTCCTCATGTAGTCCTGACACATTCTTGAGTGGTAGGATGTATCAGTCAGCTATTGTCCAATGGTGCTGTGTAACAAATTATCTCACAACTCAGTGACTTAGAAGAATAATGATATATTCTGTGATTTTGTGGCTTGGTTGGGGCTCAGTTGATCCAGGCAGGGCTGCAGGCTGCAGTGGGCTTGGGCTGCTTTGTCTCTCACTGCGGGTTTGTGGCTGGGGCAGCTCAGCTCCATGTGTCTCTCACCCTCCTTGGACAAGTGGGTGAATTGGGACCCATTTCTCTTACAGCAATAATAGAGATACCAGTGAGTGAGGGGGAGGTGTGAGACTTCTTGGGACTCAGTAAGTAGCCATTGGCTGGGTACCATTGGCCAAAGCCAATCCCATGGGCAACTTCAGATTCAAGAGCAGGAAGTGACCCTTCACCTGCAAGGAGGCAGTAGCAAGGGAGTGGATGCAGCAAGGGATGGAGAACTGGCTGATGCACATCCCCTGTGGACTGGCACAGTCTGTTCTGGGCCAGTGCCTCTCTGCAGTGGCTGACTCACAGGGCAGGACCTTTCTTAATGATCCTGGCACTCTGCAGAAAGCTGACACTGGTCAGGGGTCCAAGCAGCCCTAGTAGAGTGTATTAGCCAGGGTTAGGGCTGGCGTTTCCATGTAGAGGGGTGGGGAGAGGAGAGGACACACTAAGGCAGTGCGGTGCATGCAGTAGGTGCCTACTCAGTGCTCAATAAAGAAACTTATATCGTCTTCTATCCAAGAGTGTGGGAAGGAAATTTTCCCTGGGGAAGGCAAGGAGAAGCCTGGGTGTGGAGGCCTGGGGGCTTTGACACTCCATCTTTTAGGGAAGTGCTGGTTACCCAAGAGACAGCAGGTACTGTCCAAAACAGCTGGAAACAAAAGGGGTCTATCAGTGGCCTCAAAATGTATTTCTTCAGGGCTGGGGATGTGGCTCAAGCGGTAGCGCGCTCGCCTGGCATGTGTGCGGCCCGGGTTCGATCCTCAGCACCACATACCAACAAGGATGTTGTGTCTGCCGAGAACTAAAAAATAAATATTAAAAATTCTCAAAAAAAATGTATTTCTTCAGTTTTTTTTTCCTAGAGCAAGTTCATCTGTTTTTTTTTATAAATAATCTGACGTTAATCATCAGATTATTATTTTTTTGAGAGAGAGAGAGAGAGAGAGAGAGAGAGAGAGAGAGAGAGAGAGAATTTCAATATTTATTTTTCAGTTTTCGGCGGACACAACATCTTTGTTGGTATGTGGTGCTGAGGATTGAAGCCGGGCTGCACACATGCCGGACGAGCGTGCTACGGCTTGAGCCACATCCCCAGCCCCAAGTTCATCTGTTTTTAGCATTTGTTTCCATCTTATTTTAGATACATCTTTTCTTAAAAAAATATTTTTTAGCTGTTGATGGACCTTTTATTTATTTATTAATTTATATGTGTCGCTGAGAATCGAACCCAGTGCCTCCCACATGCTAGGCTAACGCTCCACACTGAGCCACAACCCCAGCCCTAGAAACATCTATTTTTAATAAATAGTAAGGATGAAAAATTTTACTGGGGTAGCAAAGATCCAGGATAGTATGCAAATCACGCTAATCCACAGCGGGCAGCTTGGTGCAGTTGATGAACACTTGGGCCAACGCAACCCACACCGGGCCAAGACAGGGCACCTTGTGTCCCCACGGAGGCCCTTGGGAACTTGTATTCTGACTTTTTTTTTTTTTTAACTGATATACATTTTTAAATAACTTCATTTTATTTATTTATTTATGTGGTGCTGAGGATGGAACCCAGTGCCTCACGTGTGCTAGGTGGGCACTGCACCCCTGAGCCACACCCCAGCCCCTATTCTTACTCCTATTGTCATTGTTGGTTCTTAGGCATCATATACATTAAATCCCACCACATGTGCCCTTTCAGGTCTGGAGTTTTTCTCCTGTAGGTCTGTGAGCGTCATCCCTATCTCGTGTGTAACAGTCATTTTGATTTTATTTCTTGACTCTGTGGTAGTGTGGGACAATTTCTTGGTTCTGTAGTCATCCATTACATGAAAAGACCATCATTTATCTGCTCTACTGTTGATGGACATGGGGTTGTTTCTAGTTTGGGGCTATATTGAATAGTGCTGCCATGAATGTTCTCAAGTGTGTTTTTTTGGTGGAGATACACATTCTTTTTGCTTGGGTATTTTTTTTTTTAAAAGAGAGAGAGAGAGAGAGAGAGAATTTTTTAATATTTATTTTTCAGTTCTCGGCGGATACAACATCTTTGTTGGTATGTGGTGCTGAGGATCGAATTCGGGCCGCTCACATGCCAGGCGAGCGCGCTACTGCTTGAGCCACATCCCCAGCCCTTGCTTGGGTATTTACCTAGGAGTGGAATGACTGGATCGTAGGGTGGATATTATTTAGCTCTCATGGCTAGAGAGGGCCAAATGGCTTTCCAGAGTCATTATATATGATGGGATTCTCTCTCTCTCCCCTCTGCCCTTCCTCTCTTTCTTTTTCCCCCTTCTCTCTCACTCAATTGAAATTTCAAAAATAATAGGGGAGTTCACATCTTTTTTGGGAGGAGTAATGGGGATTGAACTCAGTGGCACATCCCCAGCCCTATTTTGCATTTTATTTAGAGTCATGGTCTTGCTGAGTTGCTTAGTGCCCCACTTGTGCTGTCTTTGTGGTGCTGGGGATTGAACCCAGCGTTGTGCATGCAAGGCCAGCACTCTACCCCCTGAGCTATATCCCCAGCCCCTGAGGCTGGCTTTGAACTGGCCATCCTCCTGCTTCAGCCTCCTGAGCCTCTGGGATTACAGGCATGTGCCACCCCGCCCCGCAGCTCATTCCCATTTATTGTGACAAATGATGTATTTGTTTTTCTCCTTTCCATCTTATTTACGTTTACTTTGTATTGATTACGGTTCATTTGCAAGTAACAGAACCCAGGTTTAATCAGAGAGAGATTTATACAAGAAGTTCAGTGCCTACAAAATTGTCAGAGAAGCTGGGGGAGCAGGTTTGGGCTGAGCTTTTGGGAGTGACTGTCCAAGCCACCCCACGGAGCTGACCCAAAAGGGAGCCACTATTTCTAGCACAACCAGGAAGTGGAGGACTCAGCTGCCACCTACCCCAGCTACTGGCCCAGGGCCACACCATCCCTGCTGGACACGGGGATCAGTGTAGCTGCCCTGGCCAGGGGCTCCAGGACTGCACTTCCCAGTCATGGTTTGACCAGTGAAGGATGCTGAACGTTGGCCTCTGCACCTTATTGAAGCCTTTGATTCTCTCTTGCCATATCCAAGTTACATATTAAAAAGTATTCCACCCCCGAGGTCTTACTTTCTGCTTCACTTCCCCAAGAAGAGAAGTCCAGACACTCTGACTTCCCCTTTGTTGCTGGGGTGCTACTGCCCGACAACCCCTGAGGCTGGGAGATGTAGTCAGAGCTGTTAGTTTCAGTCTCCGGATCTGATCGTAGAGTCTGAAGAATCCCTCCTAATTACACCGCATCCCTCGTGCGGTATTCTCCATTACAATGGAGCTGTAAATGAGCTTTGTTGCTGCTGTAACTTCTCCTCTTCTCTGTCTTCTGTTCTTCGGAGACTTCTGTTCCAATTTGATCTTCAACTTGCAAGAGCGTTTTCTGGTCTGTTTCCCTCAGTTCCTCTTCTCGCTCCGCTGCCTTCTCTCCAGTCTGCAAATTGGTTTCCTCCCTTCTCACTTCCAGGGATGCAAATGAGAAGCTGCCCGTGTTGTGGCAGGGAGCTTTCTGGAAGCTCCCAGGGCTTGGTCTTCCTCCTGGAGGGCCACCGGGCAGGGCGGGCTGCCGGAGGCTGGCAGTGTCCCAGTCTCAACTCCCCCGGCCGAGCCCTCTCAGGCCCGGATCCACATCTCTCTGCTTCTCCTTTAGGAAAGCGACTGCCCAGAGTGCAAGGCCCTAGGATGGGTCCCCAGCCCTTTATCTTTTCAGGGGACCTTCCCTCCTTCCTGGTGTTTTGCTCTTCGCTCTGAGCCCGCTCTCCCCTGTGACCTTCCAGATTGCACCTTCCTTCTCAGAGTCTTTCCTTTTTCTCACGGGCTCGATGGAATTTTGAATTCTGGAAATTTGGTCTCTGTGTTTGAGTTTTTGCAAGCCTTCTCTTTGTGTGTCCCAGGTGTCCCCTGCAGGGGACAGGCCCTGTGTCATACAGGCCTCTTCCCTTCACCCTGAAAGCAGAGGTGGCCCTGGTCCCCCTGGGCTGCTGCTCTTCTTTGTCTTCCCGGAGGAGGACGTTGGTGTCAGATTGCTTTCGCCTGCAGGGGACAGAAGACAAAGGCTGATGGCAGCCCACCTGGCCAGACTGGGACCCTCAGGAGGGACTCAGGAGGGCAATTTGTACTCCCAGGTTTAACAGGAAGCAGAAAAACAGCAGAAATGCCATCCAGACTCCAGAGAGGGTCTGACCCCCAGTACCCATCAGATGTGGCCACGTTGCTTGGTGGTCAAAGGAGCAACGAAAAGTAATTTTGCTAACAGAACAGAACCCAATCGAGGAGTGTGTCCTCTGTGTGGGGCAAATAGACCAAAGGGGCTTTCTGGCAAGGCAGTGCCCAGTGGTTACCAAATTTGGCTCATTTTCTTTCTGGCACATAGCTGGACTACATTTCCCAGCTTCCCCTGCAGCTGGTGGGCCTCCTGACCATGTGACCTGATTTGTCCAATCAGGTGAGAGTAGAAAATCAATGCCTTTTACCTGACTCTCCTGTGTCTGGTAATCTGGGGTACCGTGTGAGGATGGCAGAGCTCCGTGATGGAAGGGAGGCACTGTCTGTAAGAGAAATAATATGTTGGACTCCCAAGAAAAAGAGATAAACTTGTATTAGGCTATAGAGATTTGGGCATGTTTGTTACAGCAGCTAGCCTATGCTAACACAGAACTCCTTCCCAGGAATTGCCTGCTTGTCCTGTTCACAGCTCATTTATTGAATTGCACGGTTTCCCCTGAGTGCTTTGCAGGTAGGAATGATATCCAGAAATTGTCAGCATTCTGCTAGCAAGGAAGAAGGCAGGAGTTGAGCTGGGGTGGGTGACCACCAGCAGCTGTTCTATTAGTGGGAAAGTTTATATATTTATTGGCTAATTCCACCTGCTCCCTTGGTTGCTTTTGTGTTCTTGGTTATCGGTCATGTTTTTCATCTTTTGTTTAATGACTTATAAGGTCTTCTAATGTGTTGGGGATTGTGAAGTACAGCTGCCCTTATTGTTGTCTACCCAGCACCTGAATCCCCTTCCTGTTTGAGGCAGAGTGGAAAATGTTAGGAGGCGGCTTTCCCAGCCTCCTTTGCAGCAAGGGTGCAGGCCCTCAAATGAGGTACCAATGAGCAGAGCCAGCGGGGACTGGCAGCCCTTCTGGAAAGCACGGAAGCCACGGTAGGCAATCTGTGGCGGTGCCCAGCACCCAGCATGGAGGCGCGGGTGGGGTCTTTTCTGGACCAGAGGAGGCACAGTTGCTGTCGCTGTCTGGGAGATCTACAGGGGTTCTGCAGCCCTTCCTGAAAGCTGGCTGGTGCTCCATATCAATCTCTTTTCTGCTTAACCCATTATGTTCCATCATCCTACATATAGGACTCCTTTAAAAGCCTATAGGGCACCTGTAAAATTTCTCAATTTAAGTTTTTATAGGTATCCTACATATAGGACAGTAGGATGGGGGGTGGGGTGGGTGGTTTAAATCCACTAAGGTCAGCTTCTGTTCTCTTGCTTGCAGTAAAAAGTCTACTGTTAACTTTTTGTGTCATCTGTTACAAATCAGTTTTTCTTTCAACCTCTCTTTCTATATATAGCAACTTTCCTACAGAGAAGTTTTAGATTCTCATGTGGCCAAATAGATCAACTGTTCTGTTCTATCTGACGTTCGGGTCATGTTCAGAAAGGCCTTCTATAATCCAGGATTATAAGAATGTTCTCCTGTATATTAAATTAAACATTTTAAAGTTATTACTCGATTTAAATATTTATACTTAAATATCCTATTTAAACATATACAGTCATCCCTGTCTATCGGTGGGGGAGTGATGGAGGGTATCTGCAGGAGGAGGGGTACAGAGACCCAAATCCACAGCTTTTTAAGTCCGTTATATAAAATGTCACGGTATTTGTACAAAAATTAGCACATTCTCTTGTATATTTAAAAAGAGTTCTAGGCTTGGTGTAGTGGCACATGCCTGTAATCCCAGTGGCTCAGGAGGCTGAGGTGGGAGGATTGCGAGTTCAAAGCCAGCCTCAGCAAAAGCGAGGCCCTAAGCAACTCAATGAGACCCTGTCTCTAAATAAAATACAAATTAGGGCTGGGGATGTGGCTCTAGGATTGAGTGCCCCTGCATTACATCCCTGGTACCCCCCCCCCACCAAATCAGCTCTAGGTTCCTAATAATACCTAGTATAATGTAAATAGTTGTCTCACTATTGTGAGAAAAAGTCTGTTTATGTTCAAGTCAGATGCACCTGGGACAACAGGTTGCACCACAGCGTCCAGCTTAATGTCAGCTCTTTACAGAAGATGCCTGCTGATCCCTGCTCTTCATCCAACCACCAATTACAGGAAATACAGGGGACAGAGGAGCATGTCCAACAACGTCAAGGGGATGCAGCCAGCAAAATCCAGACTGCAGGAAACTAGGGAGCAGACCAGCTGTCTCCTTGACACATAATCTGCAACAACCAAGAAAAAAAAAACTGAGGGGACCTACACACAACAAAAGAGCTGGCAGTGACAGGTGACAGAAGTAGATGGTAAGAAAATAAAACCTCCTTTTCCCTGGTAACCAATAAAGAGGTGCCTGAAACTCCAAACCAGCAACGAACAGTGTAAACCATTTCATTTAAAAATGAAAAAAAAAAAATTGAAAAAGAGGGAACATCTATTAAAAAGGTCATAGTGGCAGTGTTTGGATTTTTAAACTGCGTACAGTCCGCCCTCTGTGTCCACGGGTTCTGCACCCAGGCATTCTACCAACCACAGATCAAAAATGTTCAGAAAAGCTGGGCGTGGCCATGCGGCAGTGGCCATGCGGCAGTCATCCCAGCTACTCAGGAAGCTGAGGCAGGAGGATGGTAAGTTTGAGGCCAGCTGGGCAACTTAGTGAAACCTGGTCTCAAAATAAAACATTAAAAGGGCTGAGATTGTAGCTCAGTGCAGAGCTCCCCTGGATTCCATCTCAGTACTGAACAAAGAAAAAAAGGTTCAAAAGTATATTGCCCTGCGCGGTGGCCCCTGAGCTGCATCCTGCTGTGTTGGAATGGCTCTTCAGGAGCAATGCTGTTCTCTTCCATTTGGAGGCACTTCATGCCCAGTTCTTCTTGATTGCATTTTAACTTAAAAAGGCACAAAAGAGGTCAAAACCGAAAGAGCCGTTCACTCCTGGTCCCACCACATTTTGGGGAAGTGTGTGAACTGGGAAGTGAGAACCAGCTGGGTGCAGCTTCCTGCAGACGTGTTCTGGGAATATGCTGTAAGAGCTGGCGCCCACTAACCCCCCTCACAGCCTGCAGGTCAGAGGGTGGGTCGCTGGCCCCCGGCCCCTAGGGAGGCGGGCACACCTCCTTCCCGCTCTGAAATTTTCCTTACCCCTTTTCTTGGAGTAACGTAGACACCAGACTCAAATGGATTTTCAGTGACTGTTTCTTAGAAGGTACAGGAACTTCCCCCTGAGAGTCAGGAGGGGGGAGAGATGGTGGAGAGATGGGACATCATGCATCATGCATCCCCGGTGACCCGTCCGGCCTCTCACGGCGGGCAGAGGCAGGCTTGGGAGAGACTCCAGGCGGCTCCCTGGAGCACCCCGGCCTCTCCACCTTCCCAGTTCTCCTTTCATGTCCTTTGCTGCCCTGTACCTTGATTGTACCGTGCCCAGTCCTCGCTTGTCATGCATCCTGCAGGACCAGCTGTCAGGCCCTCTAGACCCTTCCAGCGGCTTGCCCGGCGCCCGCTAGATGGCGCTGTCCGCGCTCTGTTCCTCCCTCCTGGCTGGGGCGGGGCCGGGGCTGTGCTGCGCGGGGCGGAGCCGACCGAGGGCCACCGCGCAGGGCCCAGGAGGGCGTGGGGGCCGAGATCAGACGCGTCCTGTGCGCCTCGGACTCCACCGCCTGCTGTTTGACCGAGTCTTTAAGGAAGCGGGTGCCCCCAGCCCCACATCCCCACGAGGAGGCTTGTAAACCAGGTCATCAGGACCAGGCGCGGGGCTCCTAGACGGCCACCCACCTCTACCCTATCAGGGACGCCAGAGGTGGCACTGGGGTTTGCAGGATTCTCTTCGGGGGAGGTGGAGGTGTCTGCGGTGCCCCTACCCTTTTGATGTCAAGATAATGGAGAGGCATCTACCGAGCTGCCCCGAGAGCTTGATTTTTGTCTCTGTAGCTTGGGGGACGCGCTGGATGGTGACTGACACGCACCAGAGACAGTGGAATGGTGATTGATTAGTGGATCAGCCCGAGGTAGCGGAGGAGACGGCTGTGGTTCGGGACATACGTGCCTTGTCTGGCAGCTGTTGTCACCACCGTCCTCACCACATCCCCCTTGCTGGCATCCTGTCCCCCCCCTCTGGAGAATTGCCAGAGGGTGACAGAGCTGCAATGTCTTGCTAATTTGGGGGGACAACCCATAGCTCATGCTACAAAAGGTTTCCTCCTCACCTCAGGACGGGTGAATCTAGGGTATGTTGATGCCCCAGAGCTTCTGTGGGTCTAGCCAGGGCTGCACTTACCCTGAGACCACGTCCTTACTGTCTCTGTCCATTTTCTGTTGCTAATAATACAGTTCCCCAGACTTGGCAAGCCATAGAGAAAAGAGGGTTTTTTGTTTGGCTCATGGTTCTGGTCCAAGGTCAAGGGGCCTCATCTGATGATGGCCTTTTTGCTGGCAAAGTCCTGAGGTGGACAGAGCATCATATAGCAAGACCCAGGGAGTGTTTGAGAGCTAAAAGCCAAACTGGCTTTTATAGCAGATTCACTCTTGAGATAACCCATTAACCCATGAGTCCATTAATCACACGAAGGGATTAATTCTCACCTCTTAAGGGTCCCACCTCTTAATAGCTCATAATGGGGATTAAATTTCAGCATGAGTTCTGGAAGGGGCAAGCCATGTATCAATCATAGTATTTCCTGAACCCTCTCCTTTCCCTGCCCTGCTCCGTGGCCCTTCCCTTGTCAGGACCACACCTCCTCTAGTAAGTCCTTATTGCTTCCTGACCACCTGAGATGGGGAAACAGAGCAGTCCCAGGAAGCTGACCCAAGGCTGGGATTCTGAGTTGCTGGCTGGCGGCTGGTGATGAGGAACCTATTGCTGGCAGTTCCTGGCATGAGATGGCAGAGCAGCTGCTTGGACCTGCCCCTCTGGAGACAGGGTTGAGGTGGACAGGGGTTCCGTGGCTCACGCGACATCCCTGTGTTTGAGTGCTGTTGGGGAAACCAGTTATAAAGGCAGCAGAATGGGAAGGTCGTTGTTGAACACCACTGTGGCTTTGAAGGGAGAAAATGACAAGTTCAAGGTCACAGATCAGCAACTTAAAGCACCATCAGGATTCCTGGGCAGCTTTTAAGGAAGTCCTTCTTTTCTATAGCCAGGGGGCAGATGATTGAAGACTCCGTGTAGGACTTGCCTGTACAAGACACAGCATTTCAGCAAAGATTGAATTCCCAGCCTTGGGAAGTGTACTGGATTAGTGGGTTTTCTGTTACCATAATGAAATACCTGAAGCATGTTAACTTTCTCTATTAGGAAAAGCGTTCCGGTGGGCTGGGGAGAGAGCTCAGTGGTAAAGTACTTGCTAGCATGCACGCGGCCCTGGGTTCAATCCCCATCACACATTAAACAACAACAACAACAAAGAGTTCTGGAGGCTGAGAGTCCAAAGATCATGGCGTGGGCTCTGGTAGGCGCCCCCTTGGCTGTGTCACCTCCTGGTGGAAGGCAGTGGCAGGATCATGCATGGGAGCAACTGATCACATCCCGCACGGAAGCCATCGAGCTGGGTGGGCTCAGGCTATTAGAACCCTTCTTGAAAATCACCAAGGAGCAGCCTGGGTGGAAGAGTTGCTGCCTGGCGTGAATGAGGCCCTGGGTTCGATTCCCAGCCTTCCAAAACAGATAAATAAAATAAATAAAAATAAAAATGAATCCCTTCTGAAGGCATGTCCCAGTGACTTAAGGACTTCCCACTAGACCCCACCTCTAAACAGTCCCACCACTTCTCTCGTCACCACTCTGGGGACCATTCAGGTGCCCCAGTGGAAGAATGGATGGTGTCTCGCCCTGACACAGGAAACTAGGGGGAGGATTAAACCATAGTCAATTAGTAGCATCTCCCCCCACCCCAGAATCAGGGTCTAGATGGGGAGGGGCTAGATGGGGGAGGGTGGGACCCTTGAGACCTGAGCTAGAGGTATCTGGAAAGATGCTCTTGGGGACCTTGAACCCCCAGACTCTAGCCACTTGTTTGCAGGGGTGATCCTCTCCCCTCTGTTGAGAGAGCCCCTCCCCCACCTTGCTTAAAGACTGCAAAGCTTCAAATAAGCAAGGTGCCTTTTAAGACAAGGCTTCCCCTCTTAGAATCTGTCCCTTTCTCCCCTCTTGGCTGCCAGACTCAAAGCCAGGACCCCCTCTCAGCAGGACCTGACGGGGATGTGCTTTGTGCTAAGGGATGAGGGGAGCCCAGTGTCAAGGGAGCTGCAGGGCGGGCCAGCAGGGGCTGGAGGGGACCCGGAGGCTATTCCCAGGCGTGCAGCCGAAGGCTCCGGAGCCAAGGAGGCTGACACAGGAGCTGCATGTGGAGAATTTGTCAGGTGGAAAGACTCAGATTTGACACCTGAAAATACCCCAGGGAGATGGTTCCGCTGCGTTGCCGGAGGGTTCTTGGAAGCTTGGAAAAAGTGCCCGCGTGCTGTCTATGAAGTGGACAGGTCAGCAAGGCTGGGGGAAGGTGCTCAGGGGCTCAGAGAAGTAGGTAGCCAGGGTGCATCTTTGCTTGTAGGTAGGCCTCCACTCCCAGGAACTGAGGCCTTTACCCATTAGGGCTGGACTCTGGGGGACGCTTCAGCGTGGTTCAGGAGCCCAGTGTGGCTGTCTTGGGTGGGCGGGGCCTGGCAGAGGGAGGATGGGGAGGGAGACCCCACCCTGCTATAGAACTGAGCTCTCTCACAGCCAGGGTAGGACAGGTGCCGTGGTCCGAATGTGGCTTGTTCCCTCCAGACTCATGTGGAAATCTCATCCCCGTCATGAGCTGTTAGGAAGTGCGACCCTTAAGAGGTGAGCAGAGCTCTGCCCTCACGAGTGGATTAATCCCTTCATGTGGGTTAGTGGGTTATCTCAAGGGTGGGTCGGCTGGGGCTGGGGATGTAGCTCAGTGGCCGAGCGCGTGGCCAGCGTGAGTGAGCTCTGGGTTTGATCCCTGGTCCAGAAAAATCAGAAACAAAACAGGAGCGGGCGCCACGGCACACACCTGGACTCTCCGACTGGGAGGCGGAGGCCAGCCTCAGCAGCTTAGTGAGAGTCTGTCTTAGAATTAAAAAAAAAAAAAAAAAGAAGAAGCAGCAGCTCGGGGCAAAGCTCCTGGGTTCCCTCCCCACACTCCTCCTCCCCCGAAAGTGGTTCTGCTCAAGCCAGTTGGTTAGGTGCCTCTGACACTCCATCTCCCCGTCTCTCGCCATGTGATGCCCTCCGCTGCCTTGGCACTGACCAGAAGGCCATCCCCAGATGTGGCCCCTTTACCCCTGGACCGTGACCCTAAGCCACAACAGACCTCGTTTCTCTGAGGCTGACCCAGCTGCGGATCTGTGTCATCAGCAACCAAAAACAGACGGAGACAACAGGGCTCTGGAGTGGACATGAGCTGGGGACTGCAGGCAGGGGGCACCACGGGTACAGCTCCATGGCCGTGGCTGACAGGACGTGGCAGCTCCCAGGCCTAGGTCTCGGACAGTGGTCAGGAATGGAGAGCAGGAAGCCAAGGTCAGCTGCCCCAATGGAATGGGTGATCTCTCTCCTGGTTTCCAGACTGGAGCCTGACCTCAGCCTCAGCACCCACCGGCTGAACAAGGGCCAGTCCCATGAGCAACCTCCGTCCTTCCAGAGAGGGACCGCGTGGGTTTCCTGGGGCGCCACACAAAGGGCCACAGGTGGGGTGGCCTAAGCAGGAATTCACTGCCTCACGGCCCTGGAGGCTACAAGTCCAAAATTAAGGTGTCCCCAGGGTGGCTCCTGAGGTCAGTGAGGAAGATGGGATCCAGGCTCCCGCGCAGCGGCTGGAAGTTGCCTGGAATCTGGGTTGACCCTTGACCCCTGGAGGGTTGACCCTTGACCTCCGCCTTCATCTTCTCACACGTTCACCCCGTGAGCTTGTCCAAATGTCCTCTTTGTACCAGGGCACAGTCGGGTGGCACTAGAGCCCACCCTGAGGACCTCATTGCAGCTCTATCATCTCCAAAGACCCTCGTCCCAAAGATGGTGGCACTCACAGGTACGGGGGAGGGGAGGCTCTCAACGTCTACCAGGGACACACAATTCAACCCAGAACAGGGAGCGCCGGCTGCTGGCTCGCGTCACCCACAGCAGGAAAAGGTGTGTGTGGGTTCAGGTCCCCAGGAGGGTGGGCAGGTGGAGTCAGGAGGGATTTATCAGGGTTACACCTGGGAAAGATAAAGGGGAGAAGGATCGGGAGGGGGGCGAAGATTCCAGGCCTGAAGCGGGTCTGCCCTCTGCAAAAGGAGAGTGGGAAGGAAGGAGGGTGCACACGGCTTCGGGAGTCCTGGGCAGCCTGGGGTGAGCGTGGGGATGGGGGCTCTAGAGCAAAGATGGTCCATCAGAGGAGTCCCACGCTGGGAAGGAAATGTGGCCGTCCCTGCTGTGTGTGGTCACTGGAGCTGCTCAGGAGGCCCGGCCTTGGCTCAACGCTGGCCCACCCTGGAGGCTGTCCACC